GTAGCTGTGTGGAGCGGGGGGGGGGGGGGGGGGGGGGGGGGGGGGGGGGGGAGTATTTCTGACAGATGTTATTGGTGAAATATTTTTGGAAATAATAAAAAACTAATGTCTTTGATTTTGATTCTTCTGTTGAACCTGAGGGATTTTTTTCCCTCAAACCTGTTGGACTAATAACTAATAACTAATTAAATAAATGCATTAACACTGTAGTTGTGACCTGTGACCTCTGTGTGACCCCTGATACTGTTTCTACACAATTATCCAATCACTTAAAAAGTAAGAATGTGACTTTAATTAAGAAGAAAATAATAAACATAGTTCAAATAATGCAATAAACAACCTTACCTACAGGAAGAAAATAATAAACATTGATCAGATAATGCAATAAACAACCTTACCTACAGGGGGTGCTACTGTCTGTCTGTATTAAATCAAATACCAACTTTGTCATTGAACACATTTTCTTTTAATTTCACGGTACAAAACATACAAACGTATAAAAATAGAACCATCTCTCGTCTCGACTCCGTGTCATTGGCTCAAATATATCCAATGATGTCGTTACATATGATTGGTTGACGGCTGCCCGTTTTCATCAGCGCAGCAAACTGGTAGAAGTCCGTGTCCATTTGGTGCAGTCCAGTGTGAGACTGGTGAAAGAAGGGTTTCAACGTCTGGAGCCCGGCGGGGCAGGACATCCGTTTGGGAGCCTCGGCGGCCCGGCCGACCCTCCTGGGGTCCGCGGGCCTCGTCCTCATCTCCACACTTTTGGACATCCCGCCCAGTCTCTTCCGCATGTTGTCCAGAATGTCTTTGGCCAGACGTCGACTGGGCTTCAGGTGAGCCGGTTCAGGACTCTCTGGGAGGTCCATCCAGTTCTTGATGAGGTCCGCGAAACTGTTGTCGCCCAGAACCAGGGGCTGTCTGTTCCTGCTGCGGCTCAGCAGCAACGTGGTCCAGTCCTCCGGGTCGCCCGCCACAAACGAGGTCCAACGCTCCAGGCAGGCGTCCGAGGTCGATTTGGGCCGAACCCGACAAGAAGGTCCTCGGTTCGTGCGCAGACAGGCCGAAGAGGAGACCCTAACGTTCCTGCTCCTCCGCAACACCACACCTTCGTCCTGCCACGACGCCTCCGAGTATCCAGAGTCAAAGTCCACGCTCTTCTCGCTGCTGGGGGAGCACTGCGCCAGGCGGTCGTGCTCCTGCCGCTCGTTCTCCTCCTCCTCCAGCGGGCTGGCCAGGCAGCAGGCCGAGTCGTACGTTCCCGCCTCACTGGCGTCGGACCCTCTCAGCTGAGTGACCTGCTCCTGCTGGGCCTTCTGTCTGCAGCGCCGGGCCGCGGCGAAGGAGCCGACACACGGTTCGCTCAGCGGCCTCGGCCGACCGGTCTGCTTCAGGTCCTGCAGGGACCTCATGGCGGACTGGACCTGGTCTCGGAGGCAGTCGGTGGAGTCTCCGAAACACAGCTGCAAAACAGAAAGACAGCAGTGGCTCAGTGGAGCAGGTAGAACTGGAACAGAGTCTGCAGAACTGTAGGAAAGAATGTTGAAGTCGTTTCTTTTTAACAGCCGATCACGACTAATAAACGTTGGCCGTTCCCCCGTCAAGACTTCAGCTGTTCCCTGAAAGAGTTCCAGATCGAGGTCAGTAAGATTTCTAGCAGCTGAGATCATTCTGCTTCACTGCAGGACATTCCTGACGGACCTCAGAACAGACCATTCCACCAAGTACAAGTCCAGAGGAATTAAAAAAAAAAACCAGAGCCACGACTCTGAGAACAGCAGGCACGTTTCTAAGTCAGGAAAACTTTCCCTGATTTCCAGAGCTGGAGGGGAAGTTTGAACAGAATCATGGAGGAGTGCCGAGGCCAACTCACCCTCTCTGGACTCCCCCCCCTCACCCCTCCCTCCCTCCCCCGACTCTCAGGATGTGGACTGGGCTGTATTATAAATCAGGAAATGACTACAGTGTGTAGGAATTACACACACGTTCTGTTTCTGTTCTACATTTGATATAAAGAAATGTTCAGAGTTCAGTCTCGGACGCCACGGTGCCGTGATGTGGTCAAAGCTGTGGCTGCAGGGACACTGGGACCCACAGAGGGACACCCTGGTCAGAGGGAGCTCTTCTGATTGGCTGCTTCACAGCACAGTGACAAACACAGGGACCTCAGAGTCAGTTTAGTTTAGTTTAATTTACTTTAACAAACCCCGACCTCTAGTGTCAGTGAAAACACATTTACAGACAGAATTCAAACTCCGTCGTGGACTCACCATTGCAGGGAGGTGAACAGGACGTCAGGATTCTCTCTGCTCTGATCTGCTCCTTGTTTAAGTTAAAGTCGGTCCTCGGTCCTCTTTGTTTAAGTTAAAGTCGGTCCTCGGTCTGACGATCACTGACGATAATAACCTCGATACGAACAAACTGCCATCACATCGATAAGATCCACGCGGCTCAGCTGTGACGTCTCTCCGTGTGTCCACTCTCCTCTGAACCAGATGAAGCTCAGTCTGTGGACTTTGACGAAGCCGAGCGTTATCCCTGCAGCCAATCAGCGCAGAGCATCAGGGAACCGACCAATGACAGGTCTCCTGAAATAAGATCCATCCCTGAGCAATTAAAGCTCCTCGCGCTGTAACTGCATCACAGGGAAGTTTAGACTCGTCATTACGGTAAAACCGCAGTTAAAATATTATTATTATTTTATTAAAATAATATTTTATTATCTCTGAGTTTGTTACCAGAATCAGTGAACAGTGAAACCGAACCTTGAAGATGTGAACAGTTGACATGAACACACACACCAACAGATCTGCCCGAATTACATTTACATGACGCCACCTTGTGGCCGTGTGTGCAGCACTGACTCTGCATATAAACCCTTTCACACGTCGACTCTAACGACTGTTTTCAGTTGCTAATCTGAACCATTTGGTCGGAGTGAGAAAACAAAGGCCCGCGGTCTGACAGTGGCCACTGACGGAGACAACACTCTGTATTGTAATTCAGTGGGAAACAGCAGCTCACATGGTCACATGGGCCAACGGTCCAATCACGACGCAGTGAAGGTCCACTGGTACGTCACCGTAAGAAATCACAAAAAAAGTGAAAAAAACCCAACTATTTTATGGCAATATAAATTTGATGGCATTAAAGAATCCAAATTATAGGTTAAGGGTTTATATGATTTTTTTAAAAAAATATTAAAATAATACTGCATATATTATATATATTTAATATGTATAAAATCATTTCAGATATAAATTTGTAAAAGATTATAGAATCTAAAAATTCAGCCTTTAACTATAAAGAATAATAAGGAAAATATACATAGATTGAACATGTAATATATATTATACATATATACACATATACCTATGTATATAGTTCCCCAAGAATGCATTAAAAATCTAAATATATATATATATATACGTATGTATATTATGTGTTTTGTACTTGTATGACACACCACACTCCACACTTCCTGTGATCAAACTTTATTTATATATTTATTAAGTTCAAAGAACAAACATCATCTCAGTGTTGCGGTACATCTGACATAATAATGTGAGTTAAAGTGTAGTAGAAATAGCCCTAATCCTCACTACCAAGAAAACGAGTCAACGAAGAACCAGCGTAAACACGTGACAAGGAAGGAATACTCTGAAGTACACACTGTAGTACTACACTGGTACTGCCATCATCACATGTTTTTCTTTGTTCCTCAGGAGTGTATCCAGTGTTGGGGTGGAGATATGTGGCTCAACCTGTGGTCACTCATGCAGAACAATGGCCCCCGTTTCACAAAGAAGGTTTTTTTTTTTTTTTAAATGAAAATCCTGAGTTTGTTAAACCTGAAATCAGTCGGTTTCTATGGCAACGGTTTTTAAAGAGTCAAACCTAATCTGGTCTGAAACTGTTTTTTTTTTCTTTCTCCACATTTTCTGTTTTATTCACTCATTCATCTAATGATACTCAGTTGCCACCTGCAGGTCAGAGTAGACATTACACCACAGTCCATGTTAGAGTCAGGGTTTCCTGAACCTTCTCTGTGAAACGGACTCTGTGTTTACAGTGTTGTGCATAAACTTTGTACAAAAACATTTTCTACTTTTCATTCTTCATGCTCGTTAGTGATTTGTCTAAAAATAAGCTCTGTGCAGCCGAAAGGTTCGTTACCGTAACTCATCACAGGTTCGTTATAAAAACGTCTTTTTATTGGCCTCACGAACAAAATACAAAAACTGAACACAAACCCCAAACTCAGGTGAAATCAAAGTGAATAAAAACAGCGTATTATTATAGTTGTATTATTATTGTCGTAGTAAAGAAGAAGAAATGTTTTTATATTTACACCAAAAAACCTGTCAGCTCGTTATAATCGGCTCGTTATAGTTCAGTTATTCTCAGCTACGTTCTTTAACAGAAAGACGTTGTTGTCATGGTGATGTCATCATTACGTCCTCCCACAAATAATACACAATAAATCGCTCGACACAGCGATCGATCTGGTCGCAGGTCGGTGACTGTGGACGTTTGTTCATCGAGTCTTTCATCGTTAAAAGTTGTGACTGGTTGTTGCTCTTCGTCCTGTCGTCAAAAAAAAAAAGGAAGAAACAAAGACAAAATTATCGGACATCCCTAGCGATGACGTGTTTCAAAGAGAACAAAACGATTTGTTAAATCCGTCACAGATTGTATTGAAGAAATGAAACAGCGCCACCTACATGCAAAACTAAAACTGTCCCACCTTCAGAAAAGACCGCAGTCTTTCAGGTTGTTTTTGATGATGACGTCGGTGACGGCGTCGAAGACGAACTGCACGTTCTTGGTGTCGGTGGCGCAGGTGAAGTGGGTGTAGATCTCCTTGGTGTCCTTCTTCTTGTTCAGCTCCTCAAACCTGGTCTGGATGTAACTCGCCGCCTCGTCAAACTTATTGGCTCCTGAAGAAAAGTCACGAAGGACGGAGAAGTTCTGACGTTCTCACCTCGGCTGTTGTACTACAGGAATATACGACAACACACAAATATACCTGTGTACTCTGGGAAGCAGATGGAGAGCGGGCTGCGAGGGATCTTCTCCTCGAACAGATCCTTCTTGTTGAGGAAGAGGATGATGGAGGTCTCCGTGAACCACTTGTTGTTGCAGATGGAGTCAAACAGCTTCATGCTCTCGTGCATCCGGTTCTGAGTGAGACGGGGAACAAAGGTGGAGAGATAAGGAGATATCGAGGAACACACGAAGGAAATGGTTT